GTACAACCATTTTGATGGGATCCCTGGATTTGAAAATTCTCGTAATCCATCCTATCATTTTTCTGGCTGACACAATACAGTATTTGCTTGGTTGTGCTCCCTAAACGTTAAGTCATCAGACATTATTCCCAAATCCTTTACATGCTGGTAAGTAGTCTGCTTTGGCAAACTCACAAGAGTGAATAAGGTAGCAGTGATACTAAAAGTCCCCATCTCGCAGGATTGTTAAGTCATACAGGGCCATATGTTCAGTAGCCTACACTGGCAAATTTTGGATGAATTATGAGGATATCCTCAAGAACACGAGAGTATCTGGTTACCTGGTTACCTGGTACCTAGAGTGAATAAAGTAATTGCAAAGCTCCAGGTATCTCATGCCAACGGGTCTGAATGGTCTGATAACTGGGCATTCGATGATGTAGTGTGCAAGATAATGCTCCAGTGCAGAACTCTTAAGACTTCTTGCAGAACTCTAGGGTTCAGGGAACCCGTTAAAAACAGCTCGACCTCCTGAAGTGTTTACAATGTCACTAAACTGATGTTCCAAATTGCCCAACCCTAACAACTAAGGGCCCACAAATAGAAAACAGGACACCATGTAAATTTTGTGAGCCGCTTTGATTTTTAGTACATCACTTTTTGGCCTTAAGAGAATTTATAAGACAAAATACAAGAGGATGGGGTTAGAGAAACAGTGCCCTAGTGTGGAAAAATTACAGTATGTAAAAAAAAACATTACGGTATTTGTGACACTCAACCCTTTGTAATTTGACTACTAATACATTACCCAGTGTGGCACCTTTTTCACCTTATGAAATCCTTATGCATTGTCACAATGGCATCATATCACTTCTAAGTGGCCTTGGCAATGCACTCGCTCTTGACTTCACTGTGGAGCTTTGCACAATCCCGTGTTCCGTGACATGTTTGGTTCACTAATATTAAATAAATATTTCCATCTTGATTATGTTGACAAACCTGCAGTTGCTGATATCTAGGTCTAGGACCTGCCTGGTCGAGGATCAGACCGCGGGGACGCTAAGCCCCGAAATCATCTCAAGGTAAGTGCATATTCACCTTCTGTCCATTGTCTAAAGTGTTAATCTCCATTCCCAACAGTCTGGCACACACTTCTTTGAGGTCCAGCCTTGGGAACAGGTTAACCGCAAGTTGGTAAGGTTTTGATAAAGATCGTCAAAAGTACAGTATCCTGATAAATGCATTATAATTCTTCCACACCATCTTGTTAGATGCAGGGCTCTTCAATATTGCAATGATGATGTTGAAGGGGCATAATTCTATATGTGGATGTAGCTCTCATCCTGTAACTACATGTAAGTAATTACCAGCCTCAGTTGTGATGAGCATACTTGCCCATGACGTCTTACTGTTGACAGTCATGTTCTTCTAACCTTAGAGAACTGTCCTGAGAGTCTAATGTTCTCTCTCTAGGAAATTTTGCCATCATTGCACCAGTGCAATACTTGGTAGAAGTTTGGCCTTTTGGCTATAACTTGCTAAAGTGAAATAATATTTTGACCAATTTGTGGGAAATCCAGCAATGTTTGCTTATATGACCTTGCCAGTTCACAAGTTTAATAGCAGTGGTCCCCACTGTGCTCGCTAAGAAGGAACAGTCTATTCTCATCTTCAAGCACAATGACAACATTGCCTTTTCTGAGGCAAAGCACCAACTCTGGCACCTGGGCCAGCCTCTTCAAGGTCGTAATTTATGCTCACGTTTCTTGTTAGAATCCACCAACTAACTCTTTTACTTTTAGTCCCTTGCTCCAGGAATATTTCCATGTCCTCGCTACTGAAACCCTAGACCTTAACTGATGCACCACATTCTTGTACTCCATGATCTGCTGCTGGTATCCCTCTACCTTTCTTTCATTTCTTCCTCCATGTTAATACTATAACTCCATAGGCTTTCCATAAACCTGTTTTTCAATGCTTCCATTGCAAATGCAGGCCCCTCTGGGCTCCTCAAAACTCCACTTTCATCCTCTCCCTCCATCTGCCCAAATGCACAGACTGTCATTCCTTGATCCTTCAATTTACCCATGCCACCTAACCCTGCTTTTACAGATCCTGTGTTTCTTTTCTCAACACATTTCTCTGTCTTATTGTCATTCCTCACTACATCTATTATTGAATGTAACTATTATTGCAGTTTTCATGCAAACCTTATTGAACTTGCATATCCAAATTTTTGCTGTTGTGTGTTTGGGTGTGTCCAGAAACCAATGTTTGGCACTCATCCTGGCCACTGCCATGCTTTTACATTTTTATTATCACCTCAGCCTTTTAATGGTTCTTCTAGATCATTTCCCTCATGGCTCTCGGGTCCTTTAATCCTGTCCATCCCGTTGTCGTCGAGATTCAACATTGGCTGTTTCTTGTCTCTAGTAAATTTAAATCCATGGAGTTTTGCTGGGTTCCCAGCCATGTTGGTGTTTCTTTAAATGAGCGTGCGGATGCTGCTGCTAGAGAGGCTATCCGCTTTTGTCCCAATTCCCGTAAAGGTATTCCTTTTTCCGACTTTTATTCGGTTATTCATTCCTCCATCCATGCCTGTTGGCAGGGTTGTTAGTCTTCTGTTGTTGGTAACAAACTGCGTACTCTTAAGCGTTGTGTGTCCCTGTGGCCTTCCTCCTGCCACTGTAACCGGCGGTGGGAAACGGCTCTAGCGCAGTTGCGTCTTGGTCATACTCACTTAACTCACGGTCACTTAATGGAGCGCCGCCCAGCTCCTTATTGTCCAAATTGCATTGTCCCTCTTACCGTCGTGCATATCCTTGTTGAATGTCCTGACTTCCAGGACGAGCGTGTGTCTTGCTTTCCGACCGTCCCTAGTGGGTCACTTGTCCCTAGATAGAATTCTTGGTGAATCGGATACTCTTGATATTGTTCGCCTTATGCGTTTCTGTTCTCGTGTTGGTATCCTTGGTGATATTTAGCACCCTCTGAATATTCTGCACATTTGATGGTGCTACATGCCTTCCTGGTTTGGTGCCTTCTTTTTGATAATTACTTACAGTACTTACCTAGTCATCCATGCCAAAATCCACAACCATTGGGAAAATTTCTGGTCTGGTATTGCAGACTTACTGTGTACTTACTCTTAAATGTGACTTATTTTCATGGTCTTCTTTCTACCACCATAATAGGCAGTTGGAAATAGCCGGCTAAGCTGCATATCAGCCACATGTCCTTAATGGAACAACATCCAGCTAAGCATAGAACAACATTGCTTCTGAGTTTGTCACCTTTTGATAATGTCCATGCCTTAGTACACACTGATTTCGAAGTTGTATATCCAATTATTAGCAGGGATTATAAGTACGGTATCCCAAAGGTGTTTTAAATTATAGGATGTAACTGAATACGGCAGATGGGCACTCTAAACTATGAAAAGACTAAACAAAATCATCTATAGTTAGGCTGAAAATAAAAGACTATAACAGGATCAATTTTATTAATGTATTATCAGACAATACACTTTAAACTTGGGGAAGGGGGTGGTCTAGACTAACTTTCCTGTAAGTGGATTATACACTGCACAGACAATAGTGAAAATTTGTACAAATATTAAATAGGGAATGTTCAGCTTCAGGATGTACAAATATGCTTGGCAATACATCACACTTCGAGAAGCTCAGAATATCCATTAACATCCATATACAATAAATTAGAAACCTACCCAGTAAAACTTGACAATATGTTGCATAACAAAGTCTGAGGCTAAAGCAGGTGACTGACATTTACCTTATGTAATAGGGGAAAGTGGGACATCATTCATACATGATCACTTATTATTGAAATCATATGTGCAGATTTTATATATTTTCAATGACCTCAGCATACACAAAGCACTATAAAAGTACAAACAAGGATTTTGTTTCTACTGGGATGAATTACGGGAGGAAATTTAATTTTTTTTACCTAATAGTTTTCTCCCTAGTGGAAATGGATGGTGTAAAATGTCTCAACACAGCCTCCTCTGGTTCCCAACATTACTCATCAATTTTTAAGTACCAATTAAAATGGGGACTTTGGAATAATACTTTAGAACAGTGTTACCAACAGCTTTGCACATGGACAACTAACAATATGCAGAGGTTTTTTCTGCAATATATACTGGTACCACTGATAATTTTCAATTTATCAGTACCAAATGTATTTTAAAAGTGTAACCCTTATTCTTTTAGTCATAATGAGCAATCTTATGAACTAATCATTCTGCAATCAGTATTTGCAGAAAAAACACTGATTAACATTATGGATAAAATGTGTAAGTTAAGTCCTCAGTTTCAGACTGAAGATTGCACCCAATACAATGCTAAAAAATAAGACTGGGCATTAATGTTCTTTTAACTTGCCTTAGTTAACCGGATCTGTCCAGGTGACCGTATTCAATTTCAACAGAAATCTTATAAAAGGACTACTTTTTCAAGTGTATTAGAAACTGAAGGTCTTGTGTATTTATGTAGCATTTGGTGCATTTCGAGAAAAAAAAAAAATATATATATATATATATATCGTACCTAGTAGCCAGAACACACTTCTCAGCCTACTATGCAAGGCCCGATTTCTCTAATAGGCCGAGTGATTTTCTTTATTTTCAAAAATATTGCTTCCAGTTGCCTTATTTGAAATATTATTATTATATTAGGAACATAAAGTATTGACTTTATTATGTTAGTTTAAGATAGGTTAGGTAGGGTTGGTCATTTATCTAAGTTAGTTTTAACTCATTTTAAACAAAAATTAACTCGTACATAATGAAATGGATAGTTTTATCATCTCATGAGAAAAAAAATTAGAAAAATAAATAAATTCAAGAAAACTTGACTTATTAGGCAGATCGGGCCTTGCATAGTAGGCCGAGAAGTGCGTTCTGGCTACTAGGTACAACATATTATATACTGTATATATATATATATATATATATATATATATATATATATATATATATATATATATATATATATATATATATATCTTATAATGATTAACTTTAATAGGTATCAAAGTTGCAGTTAAAAGTGGCCAACAAAGGAAATCTAAAGCAATTTACAAGATCTTTACAGTTACTAGCATCGGAAAGCCCTAAATGTTTAAAATAAAAATAGACAATACATGCCATGTATTTTTAACTGGTTCTTTCTGATAAAATGATTTGTGAATTTCATTAGAAAAATTAACTAAGAACTGTCTAATACTGTATATTAATTCCAAAATTTTCTTGTACTTTTACCTACCAGTTATGTTCCTAATATTCTGATACATACACATATTTATATAAGGCCTTTCGATGATACTCTGAAGGTTGGAGGTTCTCTTCAGTGAAGTAACTTGAGTGCAACAAGAGCACCAGAGAACAGTGCTGGAAGATACAAGCTAGCCACGGAGGAACCACTACGGCCTGGCGAATCCTGGGCTTCTGTGGAGGGCGCTCCTGGAAGAAATTGTGATGTTAGAAACCTTGCATACTAGGAACTTGGCAATACATTTAGTGAACAGTGGAACAAGATATACTAGCCTTAGTTTATTTCTTTTGTAGAGATAAAGGCTAACAAATTACACACCCAAAGTACCCCTAATTGTCAAGTGTGTTACTGCATTTGCACTTAGTAGTATCGGACACGAGTTGATGTCTTCGTACAATAAAGCCTAACGGCAGATTATGCAAACATGCTTTAATACAAAACGGGGGACAGCAAAGACACAAAGCGAGCAAACAAGCCAGTACTGTAATTATAGGATGACCACAACCAACCATATTCATGCAATATTTTTCAATACAGCCTGTATAAGTAAAGTTGTCAAATTAGAAAGTCACAGATGTTTATCTTAAAATTATGAACATAAAGAGAAAACAACTTAACTTTGGCATTGCAATTGTTGCACCACAATACACAGCAAGCATTAACCATGTAACAGACTGCTTTGTTCTGTGGCACAAGGAAAAGGTAATGTCCTTGCCTCTCTTAGGCTGCTCCATTTTGTCATTGATAAACACAGTTGAGCACTTCAATTTCCAAATTGTGTTTGTTCCTACTTTAGTGAACGAGAAAATTTAATTGCCTTTGTACTACTATATATCAAAAACTGTTATTTTCTCACTCGAATGCTTGCTTGTATTTTTTTCCTTTGCCACTAGTGGTGTGTACAATATAATAGCCAAACCTGCATGTATAGCTATTCTTGCAAGAACTCTAGATATGATGCAGTTTCCAAACCTAATACTGTACCTATAAACTGAACTAGTCTATTATCTAAACCAATTTATGCAATGCTACAGTATGCAGTGAGGAAAATATAGATAATGGATTAGATGCTTGCTCTTTAATATTTTTAATACTTCTACTATTTGCTCCGCTTGATACCTGCTTGTAATTCCCTAATCATTCCCTAATTCACCCAACTTTCACAGGGAAGTAGAAATAAAAGAACTGGGTTTCCCATTATCAAGAACAGGAATCTTGTAGATTTATCAGAAGTCCCCCAAGGCTTTTAGATTGGCCTTTTGCAGGATGCAACCCACAATAGTTGTTTAATTCCCAGATACCTATTCACTGCTAGGTGTTAAAGAGTTACCAGGTATAAGGAAATACGGCCAAATCTCTTGTCCTGTGTGGCCATCAAAGTCTGAAACCCTTTGGTTGGGAGCCAACTGAACTAACCAACGTGCTACATCCATCCATTCACCCTACCTAAACAAAAATCACTATTAAAACTAATTCCATCTAAAGGAAAAGGTTAGATGGGATCTTGTTTATCAAGAAGAAGCAAATGTTTGGCATTCAAACTATAAATGATAAACTCTCAGTAAGCATATTTACATCTAATGCATAAAGTGATGGGGAGCTGCAGTGAGATGGTGCCGATCTGATGTGATGCTTCTGTGTTGTATAGTGGATTATTATCTAGCACAATAATATACCCAGCACCTTTTCCTCACAAGGGAAAGATTCAAAGGGGAGTATGTACAGTAAAATATGGTGAATTATTGGGCATCAAGAGTACTTACACCCATAATAAAGAGTTGCTTAAGTAGCGAGTGTTCTAAAGTGTAAACATCTTTTTGCTTGCAATAATGCAAAAAAAAATTATAAAATTATGATCAAAAATGTGTGCGCAAAACAAAACAAAAATGCAGTGCTACGTCTAATGATTATGTCCAGATTCTTCACGAGGTGTTTTAACACCGTACGAAACTAGTTTCATTTCTAGGAATATATAAATGAAGGGGGCCAGTTTCATAACATAAGTTTTGGTAATTTGTGTTTATACTGGGTAGGATCTTCAGTTTGCACTACAGCATGACAATCTTGGTGAAGTGAAAAGCAGGCCAGTTGAGTTAAAATCTTGTAATTTATAAATTTAAAAGTTCAATATAGATAATTTGTTATTAGATGTGCTTCAATTGCATAATGGCCATGTGTGCATTATCTGTAGTGAGGGGTGGTAGAGAGGTAAAGGGGTGATGGTAGAGTGATGAGGGGGGAGGGGTGATGGTAGAAAATATCACCCCTACAGTAGTAGGGGTGATAGACTCAGGGTATTGTACACTAGGAGGGAAAGTTGGGGGGAAAATATGCAATCCAAATTTGTATCCAACATTTTCAACCATTCTTGCAAAATATAAATAAGTTTAGCTACTGTATTGCAAGACATGCTAAAATATCTTCTATATATTGGTTCAGCTATATTAATTCATTTTACAAACATCAATCATGGTTTTCACCTCATGTTATTAAAATTCTTTTCAAAGGGGCTACATGGCCCAATAACAATAGGAACCTATCCTGCATAAACTTCACAAATAAAAACCGATAATGGACCCCTCTATCTGGAATACCCAATTCACAATTTAAAATCTCATCCAACTGGTATGTAGAAATAATATTTGGAAATATTATGGAAATATTTTGATCTGGAAAACCTACAGAATTATTTTTGTATTACCATACCAACTGCTTTTTATCCAAATATTGTTATAATTTGTAAATTTGCAACATGCTTTTCTATCTACTAATATATCACTCAAAATGAATATTTGAAAACTTTTATCCATTTGCCTAATGCAAACTACAGTACCTTTTAAGGCACCTTATTTCAACTGAAGAATATTTGCACATTCTTAGGTCTTTTTCCTGACAAACAATATGAAGTTTGTAATTTACTAGATGCACTCACTCAATAGCATATTGTACAGTTATTAATACCAAATATATATACCAACATTTTCCTCTACTGTTTTCTCAAGTAGATCTTTTGTATTGAAAAATTTAAGTAATAAATTTAAGAAATTGCCTAAATTTTTTTGCCCCTTTCCTTAAGAAATATAGTAACTTGCACTTTTACCTACCCCAAGCCAAAGTTCTAGCGTACTACAGTCTCTGCAAAATTAAACAACTGATCAATTCAATCTTTCAAGTTTTGTCATTTTTTTGGTACAGTGCAAGAAACAGAAGCAACACTTGACAAAAGAAGCATCGAGATTATGCAGACAAACTTGTGTTTCAATTTGGTTCCCCACCAACATCCAAGTAAAGAAAGGTTGACGAATAGCACAATCTTAATACTGTACATTATCTATCATTCTTACCAGGTGTGACCGTTGAAGACACGTTCACCATGGCTGTAAAATAAGCAAGTCATGAGCAGATTTATATGGTTGACTAATGAACATGCCTATTAACCTGTAGAGGTCATGATATTCAAATGAATTCTGATGTAGGAAGTGTTAAAAGTCCAACAGCATTCACTCAACAAGAAAACTGGAAAAAAGATGTTAAGTGTACAGTACAGTACTGTTAAATGAGCACTACACTGCAGTGTGGGTACAGTAACACTGAAGAATAAACTCCTTTTCCCAGTTGAAGCAACTATTGCAATGATTGACCTGTACAGTATTTCATTATTTTAATGACCACCATATAGAATTCTACACAAGAGTTTCAAATGCATTATAGTACAGTAGTCTTGCTTCACTATTGGAATTTATATTGTTACAAACATGGCATCAGGAAAATAAATGCCAGTAGACAAGATTTGATGAGCCAAACTTAATAAAAAGCAAGCATTTATTTTTCATCATTGTTTATATACCATAATGTGAACAAATGTGTGCTCAATCATTTTGTGAATGCAATGGATCTGTTACATTGAAAAGGAATTCCACTGTGTGGTACTTAAAATTGTGAATCTACATGTCATTAAATAAAATTAGTAACTTGTACAGCACACCATTAGTTTCCAAAGTGGGTTTTTTTTCAGTTCACATCATTTTTGTGATTACTGGTAATTTAATTCAGCATATTGTTACAACGCAAAAAAAATTGCAGGACAAAAAATAAAATAAAAAATACAGTATACATTACTATACTGTACCTCTGTTTTCAGCAGTTTATAATTTTAACTTCTTTGAGAGAGCTGACAAACTGCAGAAGTGAAACCCCTAGTAGTAAACTCTGCCAACTGTTAATTCAAGTGTGGCAGGACAAAGTGTGCAACAAGAATACCCCGAAGTGGGTTCTGGGGTTCTTCTTGTATGTCTATTTCAGTGGTTTTGTAGTAAATGAGGCATATTTCTCTGCCTCCAAACCCTCAGGTACATAAGATTCAATTCTAGTAGGTCTGTTAACTATATAGCCTATTTGAATACTGCATCATCAATTGCAAGCAAATATGTTTAATAGTGATGCATGTTAGTAGAGCTAATTAATACTGCCAAATCTAGAAACCTTTTATACTACTCCAAGGCCTTCAGCCAAGATCATTGAGTTAATTCACAATTAGGACACCATGCAAAATTCTCAGCCATTAATTGTCAATCGTTCATCAGTCACTACCAAGAACATAACCTAGGAACTGTAGCAGGGACAGGGTATGTGGTAGCCAAGCCTACACATTATCAAGAGGCAATGCCACTTACTACTAAATACCATAGCCAAATGCAACATGCTCTGGAGACCTTTCTCGTGAGAAATGGATTTTACACTAATTCCACGATTTATGGTATTACAATATTGTACTTAAAGTGAAATTAGAGCAAACTACCAGTTCAACTAAGTAAGGCAAGGGAGATGGAGGAACAGGTGTTTTTGGGCATATTGGAGCAGGAGGGAGATTAAGCAACTATCCAAGAGATCACACGTTACGGAGCTTCGTCACATCGTGCACAGGTCACTCCCACCTCCACTCACCCGACTCTCCATCCTTATACTCATCCCCCATATCCTCCTCTCCTTCCTTATCCTCTACTTCATTCTCTACCTCCTCACCTACATCATCCTCTACTTCTTCGTCCACATTTCTGGTAGCTGTAAAAACGGTAATGGAGAGGTGGCATTATACAAGTTAAATATGTACAAAAGTTCCAGGATGGGGAAGGGAGACTGAAGAAAAACCGACAAGACGAGGCAAGCAGCCAAGAGTAGAAATTGTTGAGGATGTGCCACAAGGGAAAAGGTAGAAGGAAAAACCATCACATAGATAAAGCTTAAACATGACAAATTGAACTGGGTGGAATAAGGCTGTACAAGAAAATAAAGAACAATGTATGAGAATGTAAGGCTGCTGTCATGGGGAATACTTTTGTAGCAAAAGGTTAGGTGAGGGACTATAATTCATTGTTTAAAACATTCAAAATTAAGGCAAACTATGATCAGGAACTTAACAGCCACACACATCTATACATTTAATATGTACAACATTCTGAAGAATGAATGTACAGTCAAACATTTCAATAAGTGCATGAGAGAGCAAGTGTGTGCTCCCTCATGAACATACATGTGCACAAAATGAAGCTGGAAAAAGTTCAAATATATGCCACCAGACTTGTCCCAGCGCCAAGAGGTACGAGTTACAAGCAAAGACTAAAAGAAGTTAAACATCATATCACTGGGAGAAAAGAAGAAACCGTAGACATGATCACCACATACAAAATGCTCAAGGGAATAGACTAATATTTAGCATGGGTCGTACACGAACAAGGGAACATGAAAACTAAGTATCCAGTTGAGCCAGCCACATTAGAATAAAATTGTCAGATTAGTAAACAAATTGTATATGTTAAGTGAAGTGAAGTGAAGTGGTGAAAGCAAGAGCCATAGTTCATGACCTGCAAGTAGTATACAACTAGGTGAGTACGCACACTGTACCATCCACAGACAAGTTATAATGTACTGTATAGATAGTACCAGCTTTGAAGGCTCCCATCATCTTAACACAACCTGTTCAACATGACACCATCATGAAAAGCAAAAGCATATCCAGCAATTCATTTATCATACATATTGAAAAGTGTCACTTGCATAAAATCTTACTATGTTGGAATGGAAGATAATGAAATGTCAACTGAAGGATATTCGATAAAGAATTTAGTTTATTTATTTATTTATTTGTGTTTGTTTATTTATATACAAGAAGTTACATTGGGGGTTAACAGAGAATATAGAAAATAAGTTAAATTAACGTTCTTGTAAAACCACTAGCACCCACACTAACTAGCACACTAGTTAATGCAACCATCCAAGATTAAGTGGTTAACTAGCAGATATGTGTAAGAGTGAGAACACATAACTAACCTGGCTCTGATGTAGGCTCTGCAGCAGCACCTTCAGCATCATCCTTTGAGGGGTCATGTTCATGGTCTTTCGGGGTAGGCTCAGGTGTTACTTCTGGCTCAGGCTCACTCTCTGGCTCTGGCGATGCATCTTGTTCCTCTGCATGCACACACACTGTCAGAGCCACCAGCCCAAACAAAGCCAATACCAGCCAGAACTTCATTTTGACCTGCTGACAGAAATACTTTGTATACTATGGTTTAACACATGATAAATGGCATGCAAGAAAGTCATAATTTATGCATAATGAAATCACAACAACTTGCTGGATCTATGAATAAATATTGAGACCATGATGGGATCAAATCCATGGACCCCTGAACTAGACACACACACACTTCCAATCGGACCATAATTTATAAGTACCGTACTGTAATAAAACATTTACCAAGTGTTGAAAGCTAAATACAGTAGCACTTTATAATATTTAATTTGGGTTAAACTCGATAACAACACAATTGTATCCACTTGTTTGTGAATCATATTTACAGATATTCTGCCACTATGAGTACAGTATTGTAATGAAAAGCCAGATAGGTAGATCTACATCTTCAGCTAACCTATGTACTGTGCTGTACTTAATAGGTAACTGTGAAAGTTACCATTAAAATGGTACTTTCATTAAAATGTTAAGTTTTATTAAAAGCATAAGTAGAAACTCAACCACCAACAACACCCCCATCCTCCAAAGTGAACAGTCAAGAGTTACTGATGACACTAATACTTTTCCAAGGTAAAAACGCATGCTGGTACCCTGCCTTCTCACCCCGTCCACACTACTCCATCAACCTTCCCACCACGTCCACACTACTCCACCAACCTTCCCACCGCATCCACACTATTCCACCAACCTTCCCACTCCGTCCACACTAGTCCACCAACCTTCCCACCGCGTCCACACTATTCCACCAACCTTCCCATTGCATCCACACTATTCCACCAACCTTCCCACTCCGTCCACACTAGTCCACCAACCTTCCCACCGCGTCCACACTATTCCACCAACCTTCCCATTGCATCCACACTATTCCACCAACCTTCCCATTGCATCCACACTATTCCACCAACCTTCCCACTGCATCCATGCTATTCCACCAACCTTCCCACCGCATCCACGCTATTCCACCAACCTTCCCACCGCATCCACGCTATTCCACCAACCTTCTCTTCCCAACCCTAGGGAGCCTGTCAGCCGAGCGGACAGCACACTGGAATTGTGATCCTGTGGTCCCGAGTTCGATCCCGGGCGCAGGTGAGAAACATTGGGCAGAGTTTCTTTCACCCTATGCCCCTGTTACCTAGCAGTAAAATAGGTACCTGGGTGTTAGTCAGCTGCCATGGCTGCTTCCTGGGGGGTGGAGGCCTGGTCGAGGACTGGGCCGCGGGGACACTAAAGCCCCGAAATCATCTCAAGATAACCTCAAGAAGATTCCCAATGTATCCACACTATTCCACCAACCTCCCCACCCCGTCCACACTATTCCACCAACCTTCCCACCCCGTCCTCACTAGTCCACCAACCTTCCCACCACGTCCACACTAGTCCACCAACCTTCCCACCACGTCCACACTATTCCACCAACCTAACCATTGCATCCACACTATTCCACCAACCTCCCCACCTCGTCCACACTATTCCACCAACCTTCCCACCGCATCCACACTATTCCACCAACCTTCCCACCGCATCCACACTATTCCACCAACCTTTCCACCACATCCACACTATTCCACCAACCTTCCCACTGCATCCACACTATTCCACCAACCTTCGCACCGCATTCACACTATTCCACCAACCTTCCCACTGCATCCACACTATTCCACCAACATTCCCACCACATCCACACTATTCCACCAACCTTCCCACCTCTTCCACACTATTCCACCAACCTTCCCACTGCTTCCACACTATTCCACCAACCTTCCCACCGCATCCACGCTATTCCACCAACCTTCCCACCACATCCACACTATTCCACCAACCTTCCCACCGCTTCCACACTATTCCACCAACCTTCCCACTGTATCCACGCTATTCCACCAACCTTCCCACTGCATCCACACTATTCCACCAACCTTCCCACTGTATCCACGCTATTCCACCAACCTTCCCACTGTATCCACACTATTCCACCAACCTTCCCACCACATCCACGCTATTCCACCAACCTTCCCACCGCATCCACGCTATTCCACCAACCTTCCCACTGCATCCACGCTATTCCACCAACCTTCCCACTGCATCCACACTATTCCACCAACCTTCCCACTCTATCCACGCTATTCCACCAACCTTCCCACTGCATCCACGCTATTCCACCAACCTTCCCACTGCATCCACGCTATTCCACCAACCTTCCCACTGTATCCACACTATTCCACCAACCTTCCCATCGCACCCACACTATTCCACCAACCTTCCCATCGTTAGTTAGTTTAGTTCATTTATTATGCACCCCATACCCATCTTGTGGGCGGTAGTGGAAAGGGGTTACAGAGGCACGTAATGGGCTCAGGGACTGAACCCCACAATTCATTTAGCTAAGCAAGTTACAATCTTGATGAGCTGGTTACAAAATTCAGTATAAGTCGTCACATCAACAATGGGTTCGAGATCGACCACAAATACAGTTTCTAAATTAAGCAACTGACATATGTGGAGAGCTAGTGTCACAATTGATATCCCTTCAACGAACCTTCCCACCGCATCCACACTATTCAACGAACCTTCCCACCGCACCCACAATATTCAACGAACCTTCCCACCGCACCCACAATATTCCATCAACCTTCCAACCACTTCCACACTATTCAACCAACTTTCTCATCGCATCCACACTATTCCACCAACCTTCCCACCACATCCACACTATTCCACCAACCTTCCCACCACATCCACACTATTCAACCAACCGTCCCACCCCTTTTAACATTGCCCCACATCCAAATTTGTCCACAATGACCCTATGTTCCGCCATTTTCACAATTTGATAAGCTTTAAATTTATCGTAATTCTGCCTATGCAGAAGCGTTAGAACCTAGGCAACTAATCGAGATCGATGCTAATTAGTTTAGACTAATTAGCTATAATAACACGTTGGTATTTCAATAAATCTCGAAGCATTTTAACGTCAAAATTCCTGTGCCTTTAAGTGTGAGGACAGATATATACTACCCAAACCTGAAGTACCAATTTTTCCCCCCCTCCCCTTCCTTCCTTCGACTATATTACCCTAATCTTATATAATATATATGTCTCAATTATCCTGCTATTATTCCCCTCCCCCAAAATAATAATACCGTACCCCTGTCAAAACTGTCTGTCCTCCCGTCCCTGTGTTTGACAACTCCCGTCTCCCTCCACACAGTTCCCCAGGCACAGCACCACCTGGAGTGCCTGACCTGCCATCACGCTATCATCCCAAGTTACCACATCACGGACCATCACGCTATCATCCCAAGTTACCACATCACGGACCATCACGCTATCATCCCAAGTTACCACATCACGGACCATCACGCTATCATCCCAAGTTACCACACCACGGACCATCACGTTATCATCCCATGATACCACAACACGGACCATCACGCTATCATCCCACGATACCACACCACGGACCATCACGCTATCATCCCACGATACCACATCACGGACCATCACGCTATCATCCCAAGTTACCACATCACGGACCATCACGCTATCATCCCAAGTTACCACATCACGGACCATCACGCTATCATCCCAAGTTACCACACCACGGACCATCACGTTATCATCCCATGATACCACAACACGGACCATCACGCTATCATCCCACGATACCACACCACGGACCATCACGCTATCATCCCACGATACCACACCACGGACCATCACGCTATCATCCCACGATACCACACCACGGACCATCACGCTATCATCCCACGATACCACACCACGGACCATCACGCTATCATCCCATGGTACCACACCACGGACCATCACGCTATCATCCCACGATACCACACCACGGACCATCACGCTATCATCCCATGGTACCACACCACGGACCATCACGCTATCATCCCATGGTACCACACCACGGACCATCACGCTATCATCCATACATGGCACTTAATTAATGCCAAATATGAACGTTTAAATCAAACTGTTGTTCACTTGTTTAATCCAGCCATTATTGTATCGATTTGTAAAAGTTCTTACGAATAAAGTTTCTGATTCAAATATATTAAAAGTTTTTGCTGTGAACGTCATGTGACAGACCTTCAGTGGTCAAGTGATTAATAATAACACTAGTTTCTATAGCAGCTATCTTACCCTGTCAAAGTAGGAGAGACAAATATATACGTATATGTGTATATTTATATACTTATATATAGCATTGTAAATGTATGGCCACATCTGTAGTAGAAAAAATACTAACTGTTCTAAAAAAAAATAAAGCAACATTAAACTTTATAAACCCGCAGATTTTGCCTCGATTACCAGTTTAGTTTAGTTCATTTATTATGCACCCCATACCCATCTTGTGGGCGGTAGTGGAAAGGGTTACAGAGGCACATAATGGGCTCAGGGACTGAACCCCACAATTCATTTAGCTAAGCCAGTTACAATCTTGATGAGCTAGTTACAAAATTCAGTATAAGTCAACAATGGGTTCGAGATCGACCACAACGATTACCAGATTTCATTTTTTTTTTTTTTTTTGTCCATTCCCCGTCCAGGAATATTTTAAAACTATGCTTTTGAGGGCCAAGAAGGTGGGTACTTTGGAAATGTCTTGCTCGAGCATTACTCAAAAAGAACATTCCTCCCACACTATTGAAAGAAAAGGCCATCATAAATAAAGTCATCATGTCGGAAGACCTTACTTTAAAAGAACACAATAAATTAGCTGTCACAACTGCAAGAAAAATGATACGTTAGATAACAAGAACTTTTCAAACAAGGGATGTCGGAACAATGATGATACTTTTTAAGACACTGGTGCTCTCTAGGGTGTAATGGCACATTTAACAGCGCCATTCAAAGCTGGAGAAATTACTGACCTGGAGAAGAACAAAGGTTACTTACTGCCAGAATCCGTTCAATAAAACATCAATTACTGGAACCGCTTAACATGTTTAAATCTGTCTTCTTTAGAGAGAAGGCAAGATATCTACTAA